CCTGGCTGTGTTTTTTGTCATCATCCCTATTGTTTAGAAATGACAGCCATATCGTTCTTTGATTTTAAAGTTGTTTTTGTTTAGAGCATCTCCAACGCTTAACTTCTTTTTTCATCAAATCTGATTAAAAAAATGACGATTTTTTCAATTTGATACGAGGCGCTCCAACGGTGAGCATCAAAGCAAAATTAGGGAGGTGGTCGACCGGGTGGTCGACCGGCCGGTTGACCAACCGGTCGACCGGTTTGGACAATTTATTTATTTATTTATTTTTTTACCTGTTTGAACCTTTTTTGACCGGTTTGAACCTAGTTATTTCAAAGGGAACCGGTTGACCGGTTGGTCAACCGGCCGGGCAACCGGCCGGGCAACCGATGTATCTCTTTCAACGGTCAGTAACAGTGATTTGGTAAAATCCGGAACTTGTTCTCAGTTTGATACTTTTTTTGCTGATTTCTCATTTTGATATTCATTTGATGCAACGGTTGGAGCATGGAAAAGTATATTTTTCATCAAAATTTAAATCTGATATCAATTTTGGTTCACCGTTGGAGATGGTCTTAGACATTCGTTTTGGTGCTTGATGTCACCGGTGTTTTAAATTTAGATTTGAAATCTTAGAAACTGATTCTGGAATCATGATTTAGGGGAGGTTTGGTTTTCGCTAAAAAACTACAAAATGATAAAAAAAAGTTAAAAAATTACAAAACGATAAAAATTTTAAAAAGACAAAAAAAAAATCTACTATTTCAAAATTAAAAAGTTAAAAAAACCAACAAAGAATATTAAACGAACAAAAAAGTCCTAGGTTAAAAAAATCAAAAAAAATTAAAAAATTAACTAAAAAAGTTATTGTCAAACTAAGACTTAGTCAACAGTAACAGTGGCTAATTATTGCACATTTTTGCCAACTTGATGGAATAACTTAGTGTTAGAGCAACCTCAATAAATTTTTTAAAATTTTATCTTAAAATATTATTAAAAAAACTATTTTTTATTTTAAAAATTATTTTTTCATCTATTTTCTTTAAAAAAATTTCTATTCTATTAAAATATTATTTTTAATTATTTTATATTTTATATTTTTGGGATAGAGGTGCTCAAGATCAATAATAATGGTTGAATAAAGAGTAATTATTTATTTTTTTAAGGATGAACGGTAGCTCCCTACATTTAGGGAGTAAGTGTAGCTCAATTTATAATAGGGATTGATTTTAGGAAATTGATGGGGTTGATTTTATGAGAAAAAACCTTAAAAAAGGCTAAAAAATGAAGATATGGGATCCAATGGGGGATGCTCTTATAACTCTTTTCTTGAGGACTTCTTATTGATTTAAGAGGGTGTTTGGAATGATTCAAATAAATATATTTTTTAATTTTTTTTATAAAAAGACGTATAAAAAAGTAGACAGGTGATTTGATCCAAAAAACATAAAAAGATAAAAAAAAAAGTATATTTTTGTAAAGCTTATCTTAGCAAGTTAGTTAAAAGTTAATTTTTTGATTTTTTTGAGTTACATCACCTCTCTATTTTTATTTTTATTTTTGTATGTTTTTTTAAAAAAATAACAAATTGATTTTTAACTTATTTCTCAAAATAGGCCGTAGTATTTGTCAGTTAATTATTGCCCAACTGACTGACAATATTCTCGATATTTTATTTTGCAAGTTGAATGATAATCGTATAGTATAAGATTAAGAGACTCATATTTCAGTGTTTGATTGTAATTTTTGTTATCTGAATTATATTTCAATAGACATTTGATCTTAATAAAATTGATGAATATTTTAATCTTATAACTAATAATGTAAAACAAACATATATGAATGATTATATATTTCTATGTTTATTACAAAACAAACGGGGACTAAAAATAATTATTCATTCCACTTACTCAATCGAATAATTAGGATTGGTTTGGGATGTTCTAAAAAAGTACACTTTTTGACTTATTGGCTTATATGGGTTGGGTTTGGGTTGGATTTGATGTGATGTGTTAGAGAAGTGATGTGATTTAAATAAGATGATGTGACTTAAATAGGATAGTGACTTTTTGACTTTTTGTATTATTTAGGTTATGCCAAACTTGACCTTAATCTTATATTAATCTGGTGGGTTAGGCTTGTTGGTCTTGTAACATTACACCGTCTTCGGACATTTGTGTTATCTTCTAAAAAAACAATATTAAAATTAAGATTTTACTATTTAAATTAATAAAACTTAAATTGAGACACACATATAATTGTTTCAAAAGTGCTAAGTAATTTTCTAATTTTATTTGATGTAAGTCTACAGCGAGATATTTGTTCATGGTTGATCAATTATTTCGGACCCTTTGATTCACTCTACTTCGGAAACATGTCCATACAATATTCTAGAGCTTTTTTTGTTTTTTTTTTTCATTAATTTATTTTAACAATTTGATTGCAACTAGGAGGGGTATAATAATGTCACAAAATAAATGTTTGGGGCTCTCTATTAGGACATGGCCTGATGGCCTGCTTGTGATTATGATTGAGAGTCTCAAAGGCAGGGTTGGACAATTTTTTAAGCTCGACTATAGCCCTGTTTGGTACAGCTTTTTTTCAGTTTATTTCAGCTTTCAGCTTAATTTAAATTATTTTGATGTGTTTGGTTTAGCTTAAGCTTATAGCTTATAGCTTTTTGTAAGTCAGAAGCTTAAGCTTTTTGTAAGTCAGAAATCAGCTTATTCTTTGAGTGGGGCAGGAGAAGCTTAATTTATAAATCACAAATCAGCTTATGTTCATAATTATAAGCTATAAGCTGTTAAGGTATAAGGTATAAGTACTTTCCCACGACTGTACCAAACAGGACCTATAATATGGGCGGAACTTGAAAAAAGTGTTTTTCAAAACCAACTAAGGCCAAGTTTGGGAAGATTAAATAAGTGTACTTTTTGACTTTTTATGAAATATGGGTTGGATTTGTGTTGGGTTTGAAGTGATGTGTTAGAGAGGTAATGTGACTTAAATAAGATGATGTGACTTAAATAGGATAGTGACTTTTTGACTTTTTAGATTTTTTGGAAGATGCCAAACTTGGCCTAAATTTGACCTGCCTACTACAAACTATATTATATAATATGTTTCTATATTTGTACACATTTATATGTATCTTTTACATTATGCCTTATTTGGAAAATTAACTATTTTAGTTGACTTTTTTATTATTTTAGTCTTGCTAAAAAAGTTCTATTTAGGAAAATAGTTGAGTTTTTTTTAATTGATTTACTAGTTGTCAGAGAAAAAATAAAATTATTATGAGATTTTTTTTTTTTTAAGAACTAAATTGAATGATTAGAGGTTAGATATGACATTTTGTCTTATTAACTATTTTAATCTATTGGGTGATTCTACTTACACCACTCTTTTACCTTCTTACACCCTCCATATAAGATTTTTTTTTCTTCCAATTTTATCCATATGTGAAATTACTTAAAGGGACAAAACACTAAAATTAAATATATTTGATTATCTCCTTACACCCCTTGACCTTTCAATTCTTACTTCTCTTTTTCGTTTCTCAACTTTTCTTTTCTGTTACACATCTCTTTTGAAAAACTGATAATCATAGTGTTTTAATCATCAAAAAAAGCAATGGATGAAGAAACAGTGGTGAAAACCATCAAAAAAGTGAAATGGTGTGTTTTTTTTTTTTTTTAGTTTGGTAGGTTTTTGTTTCAATTTTCTGGGTTGGTGTGCGACTTTTGTTCGGTGTTTCAAAATTGAACAAAATAACATAGTCCGGCATCACAGTGCCGAAAAAAAATATAAGTCTAGCATTCTATTACTGAATAGTCCCAAATTATTATTTATAACAAAGTGGCTCTGTAAATGTATAACAACAGAACGCTAGACAAATATATTTTTTCCAATAGCATAACACTGAACAAATGTAGTTTGTCTAATATTGTGTGACTGATAAGACACTTCATAGTGGGCTCCACTGGTTTTGTTATGAAGCAAATTGAAATTTTCCAATTGTATGTCAACATAATGCTAGGAAAAATTATTTTGTCTGGTAGCACAATACTGGATTAATTAAAACTCACTAGCATTTTATTACCGAACAGCCCCAGCACAAATTATTACCACATCATTTGGGAGGATGTGGCTCTATAAATGTATAGCCACAAAAGGCTAGACAAAACCATTTATTCCGGTGTTATATTACCGAATTTTTGTAAATTGTTTCGCATTATGTGATCGAACAGGCACTTCAATGTGGACTCTATTGGCTTTGTTGGAAAGCGAACAACAATTATCCAATTGAACGATAACATAATGCTGGAAAATAAAATTTTATCTAGTAACATGGAACTAGAGTAGTTCAAATTGTTTAACATTGTATTACCGAACAAAAACATTGTTTAGGATAAAGTGGCTCTGGAAATATATAGCACCTAAATGCTGGAGGGATCTAATGTTTCCGGCAACTGAAAACTGGAATAATTCAAACTGTTTAGCAGTATGACGTTGAACTGGCCCATAACACTTAAGAAAACGATTTTACTTCCAGCAAATGGTACCATATCCCTCCAAAACACTATAATACCATTACAATGCATTAAAAACAATAACAAATCCATATGTTCGCCAAAATAAGTTTCTATTGACATAAATATTGAATACAAAATAGATGTGAAACTGTTTAAAATTCTTACAAAAGTATGACAATTCATTACTTGTCCAACCAAGCATCCAGTTTACAAAAGATCCAAAGCATCAACAAAAACTATGCCATTAAGGAAAAGTATATCCCAAATTTTGTACGGCCTAGGAATTCACGAAAACTATGTCATCAAAAAAAAACTAGATCCCAAATTCTGTACGGGCTAGGCTTTCACAAACACTATGCCATAAAAAAAAAACTACATCCCAAATATCATGTACAGTTAACACAAAACTATATCCCAAAATGTATACGAGCTAGACATTATGCAAAATTATGTCATCAAACAAAAAGTAGATCTCAATCCTCATGTACGGTCCATCCTACGACGTTTACGATAGTAGACTTGATGCTCTGTACGTGTCGAAGTAGATCCCAAACTCTGTCCATAAAGAACTTGCAGTATGCGACCAATGGTTTCATACAGCATGTTAGAGTGCAAGACACACTCATCACGACCGAGCCTATGGACTGCAACACCAACATTGAAAGCAGCATCATTACACTGCAAAAAAATTGATAAAAATTGTACTTAGTGTTTGATTTATGGTGAACCACTTAAAAGTGAAAAAAGTTAATTCACAATTCGCTTACCCACTCAGGATCCATAGTTACATCATTCTCGGGACGTTGAACACGTAGATCAAATTGAGAGTGATGTATAGGATTTTGAACAACCCGATGCAAAACACGAGCATACCACTCACGGTATCCCCGTACACATTCAGATGGCCGCTGCTGTACAGGCACACTACGAGCATTAATAGACAACACGTGATTCTCCCACTGCGCCCATATCATGTCATGGTACTGATACATGATTTTGTACTGTCCTGGTTTACTTCCCCGTATAGCTCGAACAAGAGATAATGGTTTTTGTGGGATGGTTTGGACCCTACCAAACTGTCGCAAAACCCTATTGGGATGATAGGGTTCAACAATGTCAAAGCATTTCAAACATTCAATATAATATGCAACCTTATGAAGTGGATGGTGTGTCCTACATAAACGGTATGGATCCCACTCAATCTACAAATAAGGAATGCATAATGTTAGTTAGGAAATCTTTTTTTTTTTTTTACAATATCACACTATTATAAAATGTCTAACCTCATTAGCACGTAACATGTCAAGTTGCTCTCGTAATGTCTGCAAGTGGTCTTCTATAAAACCTCCATCTCTCTGCGGACTCCAATGACATACACGAGGTTGTTCATCAGAATAGGACAAATTTGGATGAGGCCTTCCTAAATGAAAATGCTCATAAATCCATGTTTCCAATAGTTTCAAGTAACCAGCAATCTGCTTAACACCAGCCCTACTAGCAAGTCCTAATTGTCTATATAGGAATGCCAAAGCTGCAGCACCTCATGCATACGAGCTAACAACATCACAATGTCAATTAACATGTGCAGGTAAGCAACAGGTACTCGAGTCCCACTCTTGTCAGCGAAGAGGGTACAACCTAATAAGTATAGCAAGTTAGCTCTCGCCACGTATTCTATGAAATTTGCATCATCTGTATCGTTAACTTCATGAAATCTAATTCGCAACCACTCTAGCTTCACGCATTGCCCACGAGATTGAACTAATTTTACAAATGCATCATTCACTAGCACTCCCAAAGTAGCATTCACTAGTTCAGCAGCCTCGTATCTTGTTAACTTAGGACATGACAAAGCCATGCCAGTGACTGGAATACCAAGTATGGTCCGCACATCATCCAATGTGACAGTAATCTCACCATCTGGCATGTGAAATGTATTTGTCTTTGGACTGTGTGATCAATAAGGACACTAAGACCAAACTGCTCAACCAAATGTCTCCACCTAACATTTTGGACTGTTAGTGACATCCATGGCCACTCGGCAAGCTTTTGAGAACGATTCAAACATTTAAGAGGTCTCCGTTCCCGCATTTTACATAAAACATATAAATAATTTGAAGCATATGGTACATATGATTAGCTTATTGTTGAGAAATTCTCAAAATACCTTTTTCTTCCAAACAGCGGCAGCAACGTGGTTACAGAAGCTAATTAGCAATGACGGATCCTCTGGAGCACCAGGAACTGGTTCTGTGTTGTCATCATCCACACCAACATCGTCCTCCATGAGGTCAGCCTCTACACCAATATCATTATCGACTTTGTCATCCTCTACACCAATAGCGTTGTTAACATAATCATTATTCGCATCCACATGGTCATCCTCCTCCACAGGGACATTCACTTCCACTGGTTCAGGTTCTGTTTGCCTAGCACATCTTCTATTGGATGTCGTTGGTCTCTTACGTGAGACACCACTAACCATTTCTGTGTAAAAAAAAAATTAAACCCAATATCAGTAAAAACTCGAATATATTAAATGACTGATGTAAACAATATCAGCAAAGAAACTACAATTTCATAGATAACATTCAATTTAAAGAAAAAAATTTGAATGTGCAAATGTATAGAAAAGGGAAAAAATTCAAATTATAATGCAAGTATGCATTTGATAATTTTATTGTGCCTACATTGTTCTATTTCAAGTTTCTAGTTTGTCTTGTTTATTTTTAATTTTTAAATGTTAACATTGTATTGTATCTTAAAGCTCACAATCTGATCTTCTTGGGATACCTTGCCTTTGGATGTTACAGCTCATAAGAAAATTGACGGTCACAAATAGGTGTTGGTGAATGTTCTGGTGATTTTGAAGGAGCCAAGTGATATTCTAGTTTGATGACATTGACCTACTTTAAAAATAGATTGATAGTAAAAACATGAAACTACACTTCTTTACAAGGAAAAGACCATATTTTGTCTGTTCTTACTGTTGGACATGTATTTTGCTGAAATACTATGGCTGTTGAAAAAATGAGGATGAAAATTAGTGCCAGAGGAGGCCATAAATCATTTGTGATTATAGGATTAGTAAGTCTAATTAACCTTGATGACTCTTACTACCAGTCATCTCTAATTCTCTTTTGTTATGTTATGTGACGAAGAACCCCAAAAAATAACCCAAGCTAGTGCTAAATTTTATAAATTTTGTATGACCTACATCACTTTGGGTTTTTCTTTGATTCTGTTCTAGATTTGTGGGTTTGAGGATTAAATTGTGGAAAATAATGAGACAATGAGAGGGCGAGTAGTGGCTGGAAAATGGAGAAGGTTGAAAAAAAAACTGCACATCCAAATACTACTTTGCTAACAGATTTTTATAGATGAGTCCTGATTCCCCTATTTTACAACTATGGTGATTGTTTAAGCGGCATAATTACTTATATCCTAATATCATCATTGGTTCTAGAAGTAATAGTTTCTATCATTTAAATCAATCACGCACCTCAGTTTCTTCAGAAGCTTTGGTTCTCCTTACAAGAAGGGTAGCTGTTGTGCCCACAACTGTGGCAGCAACTGCAACAGAGGCAACTGTTTCTAGTAAAGCAGAAGATATGACAGATATTTTTCTCCTTGGTTCTTTTGACTTCACATAAGATGCAGAATGATGATTTCTCTCAAATGTGCAATGATTTTTAAGTTTGGAGTCTCTTATTGCTTCACAACATCAAAAGTAAGATTAACTACAATAATTGTTGGTTAACAATCAAACCAGTGCTGTTTTTCATGGTTACAAAATATTACCAGACAGGATCCAAAAAACACTTTATATTGAAAGTGTCTAAAGATCTTCTGCTAATTGGGATTTCCTACAATAGATCTCATTATAAAATTACTTGAAGTTGACAGAATAAGTTATATCTGTGCCATCCTTGCTCTAAGCAGAGTTTTGAATTTATCGTAGACCCTAGCCACTGAGGAGCAGATAAAAATCATTTAGCAACACATGGTCTAGACAGAATACAAATAAACTGGCAATTTTTGTTAAACCATAAGCAACTAGAAGAGAAGCAGAAACACGACAAGAAAATGAAATAAATGTATTATTCACACATGTAAAGGTGGCAAAACTCCATTTCTAGGTCATCAGGAAACACAATGGTGATTGCATTCTGAACAATCAAATTCAATGATATAGATAGGAAAAGCTATACGCTTGCAATAGAAGATATTGAAATCATGCTTAAATTATACAATACAACACAAATACAAAAACAATCAATGAGTTTGCTTATGAAACTAAACTATGGCAAAATGTTCGAGAATATGTAGAATGCAAGTTGTTGAGCACCTAACTATCAGCATGCAAATATAATTACCAATATAGACAAGAGTTTGTTTTAGATTATAATTTACCATTCACACCAGAACCAAAAAGTATAATCGAAAATATATTTGGCATTTTTTTGCTGGCCACGTATCCTGTGATTATGCTTTCTAATTCAAACATTGACAGAATATTCCAGGAGGGGGGGGGGGGAAATTAAGAAATCAACTACAGCCTTTATTATGTCTTTCTCGCTCTGAAAGTGCTGTGGCAGCACTATAACGACTATACTTTGCAGAAATTAAGCAACAGAACCTTCTCTTCTTAAGCAAGTATGAACATTAAGGGACAAAAATGACCACGATAGATACATACATTCAAAAAAAAATTTGATATAGATGATAGAGATACATATATAGATACATATATATGTCTGTCAATATAGAGAGAGAAAAAAAAGTTTTTCACTTACCTTGAGCAAATGAGAAGAATGAGTTTAATCGTCCACATCGATAACACACAGCACAATGCCGTTCAAATCCCTCCCACCGTCCGAAACAGTCGCCTTCTCTACGTCAGACCCGTCATCTTCCTTGCTGCTGCTTCTCTTTTGCTTCTCTCTTTTCCCTCCAAAAGGTAAGTGGTGTAAAGAGATAAAAGGTTAATTTAGGGTTACTATTGGTAATATAATGGGGGGTGTAATGAGATGGAGGGTGTAAGGAGGTAAAAGAGTGATGTAAGTAGAATCACCCTAATCTATTTTGTCTTTATTGACTATTCTAATCCAAATTGCCCTTCTCAAGCAAGGCCTATATAACTTTATTTTTTTACATTGTAATAGTAAATAATTTGAGCTAGTAACTTTAAAGAGGCTTAAAGGGAGAATCTAAATGATTAAATTAATTATATTTTTTATTTAAAATATGAAAAGATATTATATTAACTAATATCTGAGTCATGTGAACGGATTTGAAATTTTTTATTTTATTTTTTAATAAATTTAGAAATAAGTATAAAACCGATTGGGGGATTGAGTTTAGGAAATTATTTCAAATGTCACTATGTGGTAAGAACCCGACCTGACCGGCACTTGTCTACCCCTACTAGTCTGTTCTGGCTTAAATGGGCTTGAATGAAGTTTTACAAAGTAGAGGCTCTAGCCTCTAATCACCAAACAAATATTAAGCCTTCATTTAGAATTAAAAAAATTTCACTAAATATAAAAAATTAAAAAAAAAAATGAAAATTCAATGCATTTTCATATCCATGTGTATTTATTAATTTTTAAAAATATTGTTTTACAAATATTTTACTTTTTAGGTATATCTAGGTTAGATGTATCTAAAATGTAAAAAATTGGCATAAAATATTTTAAAAAATTCACTAAAAATTAAAAAATATATATGAAAAACAAAAAAGAGAGGATAGAGTAATGGCAACTTAATTTAGGGAGACTGACCAATAAGTCTCATATTTTGGACTTATAATACATATAATCTCATATTTTTTCTTGTAATCTATTTAGTCCTTTTGGATGGTAATGACTCATTTGCCTGCTACATTGCAGTGTTACATTTAAAAAAAAGTACACTAAAAAAGTGTTTTAGTGTCACATCATACCTGCCATATTGGAATGTTACATTTGAGAAAAGTACACTAAAGAGTTTTTTATTTTTTGTGTCACATTATACATGTCACATTGTCACGTTTGAAAAAAGTATATGAAGTAGTTTTTTTTTTCTAGAGTGTCACATCATACACGTCATGTTGTCATGTTTAGAAAAAGTATGCTAACTAAAAAAATTTTTAGTATCACATCATATCTGCTACGTTGGAGTATTACATTTGAGAACAATACACTAAAGAGTTTTTAATTTTTTTAGAGTATCACATTATACCTATCACGTTGTCACGTTTGGAAAAAGTACACTTAGGAGGTTTTTTTTTTTTTAGAATATCACATCATACCCGCCACGTTGTCACATTTGGAAAATGTACACTAAGGAGTTTTTATTTTTTTTTAGAGCTTTTTTTATTTTTTTTCAATGTCATATCCTGCACACCATGTTGTCACATTTGATAAAAGTACACTAAGGAGTTTTTTTTTTTGAATAAAAGTTTTGGAGTGTCACATCATACGTGTCATGTTGTCACATTTGATAAAAATACACTAAGGAGCTTTTTATATTTTTTGAATGTCACATCATACCCGTCATGTTATCACATTTAAGAAAAGTACACTGAGAAATTTTTAATTTTTTTAGAGTGTCACATCATGTCACGCCCCGACTTTTATTAATCGAATACATTGTCAAAACCATTATAATTGTTCCATTTATTCAAGAACATGAACATGGATAAATAATAACATTCTCTCACGACAACAATGATGATATATATATAATATGGTACAATGCCCTTAGGCTTACATTGAATGATAATAAATAAAACAGAAGGGATTATTTACCCTTATACAATACAAGGCACACAGCCAACAAATAAAGGGCCCTGTGGGCAACAATTAAAAGACTTCAAGTCATACACAATTCCTCCAGCCTTGTACCTGAAAAAGTTTATCAACAAATGGGATAAGCACTAAGCCT